AAAAAAAAAAAAAAAAAAAAAAAAAGATATTTGTCTAAGCAAAGATTTTCTTGACACGACTCTGAAGGGATAGAACAAAAGCAAAAATTGACAAATGAGATTGTATCAGACTAAAAAGCTTCTGCACGGCAAGGAAATAATCAACAGACATAAGACACAGCCTGCACAATGGGAGAAAATATTTGTCAACTATTCATCTGAGACAGGGTTACTATCCAGAATATATAAAGAACTTAACCACTTAAAAAAGAAGCCAATCAAAAACAGACAAATGATCTAAATAGATAGTTCTCAAAAGAAGTACTAATGGCCAATAAATGTATTTTAAAATGCTCAATATTATTAGTCAACAAGAAAACAAAAATAGGCCAGGTGCTGTTGGCTTATGCCTGTAATCCTAGCTACCTAGGAGGCAGAGATCAGGAGGATCATGGTTCAAAGCCAGGCCAGGCAAATAGTTCATGAAACCCTATCTCAAGAAAACCCATCACAAACAAAAAAGGGCTGGTGGAGTGGCTCAAGGTATAGGCCTTGACTTCAAACCCCAGTACCGCAAAAAAAAAAAAAAAAAAGAATACTAACAACAAAAGTTAGTGAGGATATGGAAAAAAAAGAACTCTCATGTACTCTTGGTGGCAATGTAAATTTGTTCAGCCATTAAGGAGAGTCCCCAAAAAGCTAAAAATAGGAGCCTGGTCTGCTGGCACACATTTTTAATCCCACCTTTTAGGAAACTGAGGCAGGAAGAGCTCAAGTTCAAGACCAGCATGGGCTATATATACATAGTGAGACCTTGTCTCAAAACAGAAACAAAAACAAAAAAATCCTAAAATTAGAGTATTACATGATCTAACATCCCACTTCCGAGTACACCTCCACAGGAAATGAAATCAGCATATAAAAGAGATGCCACACTTCCATGTTTACTGCAGCACTGAACACAATAGCTAAGATAGGGAATCAGCCTAGGTGCTTGTCAACAGAGAAATGGGTAAAGAAATGTCACACACACACACACACACACACACACAGAGTTATTCAGCCAAAAAGTCTACTTGAAAATAGAAGAATTACTAGAAACTCGAAAGTGTGTGGAGTGGGGCAGAGGGGAAGGGAAGAATGGTAGACAGGTATCGTCAATGCACACTGTATACATGTAAATACCATTAATATATACGATTAAAATATAAAGTAGAATTTGAAATATGACCACCAACACATGGTATTTAAAAAGTTTTGGGCTTCACAGCATTTTGGATTTGGATTTTCAGATTAGGGATACTCAACCTATAGTTAAAATCATTTTATATAATTATTTTTAAATGAGTTTGCTTTCTCAATTTTCAAACTCATCCTAAAATTAGGTGATTAAAAAAGAACACAGTTTTAAGGATAGACATTAACCATTAGCAACACAAAGAATTTGACCTTAAGTCTCTAGTTCAAAAAATATAACATCTTACATCCGCCTTTCTTCCTCTTCCTTTCTTCGCCGTCGTTCATCTTCTTCACGTCGTTTTCTTTCTTTTTCCATTTCTTCTTGAATCCGCCTCAGCCTTTCTGCTTCTTCCTCTTGCTGCTTTTTTTTCTGTAATGCACTGAGGAGATCCTCTGAGCTTTTAACTAGTGCATCATATTCTCTCTGTATTTGTTCTCTTGTCATCATAGTGGACTTGAAAAACAAAACAATGAACACATACTTTAAAAGTTCTCTCTTCTGCAGCCATGGTGAATATACTTAACAAAAAGGAATATTTGAGAAATTACTACCTACATCTAAAATTGCTGAATAATTTTCCTAAGAGTCTTCCAAAAATATAGTGGGGTTAATTTTCCCTGATAATGGTACCTGACAAATAGGGATGGCCCAGGGTGGATTTATAAAATCAGCTAAGTCTAGAGATAGCATTTTCCTTTTTCTCTTGATGCTGTTTCCCTTTTTACCTCTAAGATATGCCATTGTCTACATAAAATATTTATAGAAAAAATGATAAAAGACATACTTTAAGGTACTTATGTTATCTACAGAATTGCACTGACCTATGAAGCTAGCTGAGAAAAACTGTAAAACCCTAAGATAAAATTGAGGAAAAGCTAGAAGAGAAAGAGGAAATAAGATCAACAAACAAGCATGTAGAAAAAAATTCTCAACCCCACTAGTAATCAAATAAGTAAAAATGAGAAAAAAGTGGACCCATTTTTTTCCCTACAAAATTGAGGGAATTGTTACTATAATAGCAGTCAAGTAAATTATGTTATAGACTCTATAAAAATAAAGTGCAAACATAAACAATCCATGTAACATAATGGCAGAGATACAAAATTAAATGCATAGAATAATGAAGAACCGTGTAGAAAGTATGCATATGAAGTAAGATTGCAAGGGAATGCATCACAGCATACTTGCTGCATATATTAGTGTGGGAGTATAAGCTGTTTTTTGGTGTTTTTCTTCAAAGTTTTAATAATGTTATATCACTTTTATAATTCAGAAGTCAGTTTCTGGGGTAGTAAGGATATAGCTCAGTGAGAGTCCAGCTTAGCATATACCGGCCATGAGTTCCAACCCCAGTGCCATCACAAAGGAAAATGAATAAGATCAGATAAAATCTAGTTTCTGAAAATTGAGAAGCATAAAACAAATTAAAATAACTTGCATTGATCCTGTCTGAGTCATGACTATACAAAAGTTTACCAGCAAAGTGTAGTATTTTTAGTTACCCTTTTGAGGAGAAAATATTTTTCCTAACAACAGATAAAATTTCATCAAGTTGTCTTTATTACCTTTCTGCTATGCAATTTTTCAAACACAGAAATGGGGAGAGAGGATAAGGAGCATCTGCTTGTTGACATTTGACATCTTGAAAAAATAAGGACTTTTTCAATACCAGTAACAAAAGCTATTAAATTATATAAAAACCAGCATCATCTGGGTTAAAATTACATACCTTAATTTTGGCCATCAAAGCATCAATAGAAATTTCAAGATCTTTGATCTGTCTGTTCATCTCTGGTTTTCCATCTTTCAATGCACTTACTACTTCATTAAATTTATCAAGCCGTTTTTTCAGTGTGCCCACCTTAACCAGGCCATCAATGCTGTAGAGACAATACTTCATCAGAGATCAACTTCAACATTTGATGCTTTAGGTAGATTTTCCATTAATAACATATTATTTAACACATATTGCTAAACACTGTATTTCTTTTCTGAAATTATTTTGTATGCTGTTCAGATCTGTCACTGAGGGTAAAAAGAATCATGTATGTATGCAGAACTTAACCTAATAACCTCTATAAAAAGGTGTGATGGATCAATAGTTATACATATCTCCAAGTTTAAAAGTCTAAATTAGTAGTGAAACATTTAAATAAGCAGTAAAAGTTTAATTTATAATGAAACTGTAAACAAGTGAAACAAAATTAACCTTATGGATAATCTTGAAAAGTATGGTCAAAATGTTAACAAGACATTTTTAAAAACAATGTCAACTTGACATCATTAGGAAACTCAAATCACTAAAATAATAAAAATAATAGAACTTGTCTCAAACCTTTTACAGTATTTACATTTTTGTAAGTCACTTCAAATCCTTTTGTAGAATGAGGCAAGTACTGAATAAATGGGCTGATTTCAAATAATTATTACAAATAACAGAATAATATATACGTTTACAAAGAACTTGAGATTCAAACTGCTTTTCATTTAGACTCTAATTGCTATTTTGTACGAGGCTAATCAGGTTTTGGAGGCTGTTTAGACATTCATCTTACCGAGGTTTGTGTCTCCTTTTGCAAAGCCACATTCGAACAGTTTTTTGCATTTTAATGCAAGCTTCGGCTCGATATTTTATTTTGTTTTTCACTAAGCATGAGAGTAAAATAAAATGGTAGAAAAAATTTCACTTTAAGTTAGACACATATTTTTAAAAACCCACTCATTTTCACAAAGCAATTCTCAAGAAACACAAAATTCTGACAAATATATTACACCAGAGACATAAAAATCAGGAAGGTTAATGTTAAATTCTTAATTCTTCTTAAAATAAAAGTCTATCATGTATATGACTGGGTTTACACTTTAAGTGTACTATCTCCTTATGATGAGACATGACTGCTTCCCAAACTGTTCAAGGCTGTATCTGTTCTGTTAAATGTAAATAGGCATATCTTTTTTATAAAATGAGTCAAGTTAATTTAGGAAAGACACACACTTTACCTCCTTTTAGAAACTCACAATGAACATAGTGGATGAGGCCTCTGAGAATCCTATAATAAAGGAATCTTTTTAACTTCAGGTAACCCAGAATTTTCTAAGATGATCTGACCTTGAAATATTTTTTTCAGAGCTTCCCTACTAACATTCTGCAAAAATCTCGGTCCAGAGGTTACTGACCTCAGTGTGTCTGTATAACACAGTCCACAAATGATGCTTTAGCAGAGATAATTTTAATATGATGTGTTTTCCACCAAAATGCAATATATAAAGCAAAAAGCATTGAGCTGCCGGACAAACATGCTTGGTTTTACTTGAAAAATGATGGGGAAAAGAGGCGTTCTAATCTTTTTTTCCTTATAGCTTTCTTTTCATACATATTCACAATCATCTAACAAAAGATCTCAAAAATAACCTTTGTTTGCACAGTTTCTTTAATTGGGCCAAATGAATTTTACTTTTCAATTAATAAGGAATGATTCTAAATCCTTTCTGTGTATCCAGCATTATTTCTGGTATTCTGGTGAGTATGGGTAGCAATTATAAATTTAATCAAGTTACTGGTGCTCAAATAGCTCTCAACAATTAAAGTTTTGCCACAGACCCTGGGGTGACCCAAAAATATTCTCACTGTTATTTTGGGCCAGATAAATAGTTGCTGTAACCTGGCAGAAACACACACAGAAGTAGCTCAGTCAGTGTCTCAAAGGACAGGGTCTAAGACGGCGTGGTAGAAAAGGTGCCCATTTTATGTGGTCTTGAAAGACATTCTAAGAATTCAGACTATGCTCTCTATTTACAAAGGGTCACAGGAGGGGTTTACTTCAGAGAGGTAACTCTGAGAAACAGGAAAACCAGTTTTGGAGCTAGTGAAGTTACCATGCAAGTGGGAGAAAGAGGCTGTACTAAGGCATTGGCAATAAAATATAAAGAATTACAGTATTCACAGGAAAACCAACTTGATTTGGTGACTGATGAGATTTCAAAGATAAGAAAGAAGAGGCAATGGCTGGGGATGCAGCTGAATGGTATAGTGTTCCCTGGTATGTGAGAAACCGCAGGTTTGATCCTCAGCACCTCAGGAATAAATACATACATACATATATACATACATAAATGAGTAAGTGAGAGCCATTGCAATCCTGAAACATTTGGATTGCTTATTATAGATGCTGTACAAGCAAAAAAATTCTGGTTTAAATCTAAGTGAACAGGACATGGTGCTGGGGGACCACGGGAAGAGAGAGAGAGAGAGAGAGAGAGAGAGAGAGAGAGAGGGAGAGAGAGAAAGAATCAAGATAGCTCTGTTTTGTTTAGGACATGATGAAATTCATTCTTATAACACATTCATATGTGAAAAATAAGTGTCATATATTCAAAAAATAAAAACACAAAAAATCTCCAAGTGCTAGTTTATCACATCCTACACCTGAGACATCGCTTGAAGACCAAGAGGCACAGCACGAACAAAAGTCACATCTCTGTTGCTCAGCATTCAACCCCAAGACAGCCTTGTAACATCACACAAACAACCTCACGTCCAAAGCAACAAAGTCTGGGTGTGAAACAAAACACATTTTTAAGGGGAGGGTGGGGGGTTAGGATTTGTTTGCTTTGTTTTGACAGGGCCTGGCTATGTAGCCTAGGCTGTCCTTAAACTCACTATAGTGAGTTCTTCCCTCCTCACCCTCCAGAGTGCTGGGATTGCAGATGGGTACCACCACACCTGCAAAAAACACTTACGCTTGATGACTGAGAGTGAACACCACTGAACTTTCTTCCAGCGACTACAGACGAGCCAATGATTCACTCTTTTAACCAACTCTGCCAAGTGGTCAGGATCAGACTTCATAATCTGATCAAATTCTGCAAACTAGGAGGCAAAGTAAATTAATATCAGCATTTAAAATAATGTGTTCAAAATTAGAGATAAGGGCAAAATAGTTTCTGCCGGGTATCGAGGGGGTGGGGAAGAGGGAGGGGAAGGAGTGGGTAGTAAGGGAGGGGGTGGGGGCAGGGGGGAGAAATGACCCAAGCATTGTATGCACATATGAATAATGATAATTAAAAAATAAAATAAAACACAAAGAAAACAAAATAAATAGAAATGAAATCCCAATATGGTTGTATGCTAATTCTAGGTACATCTTACTAGGGTGTACAGCAAACTCTCAAACATAGTGTCTCTTCCTTCTTTTCTTCATGACATTTTTTAGGGGGTCAGAAAGGTTACTTATTACAAGGTAGAAGATTCAATTTTTAAAAAGTAGGAAAAAAATCTTAAATGATTTAATTGAAGAGGACTGGTAAAAATATTTGGTTGAGAAAAAGGTGGAAAAGGACTAACATATCTCTGAATTAGCCCACTCTGGTTCTTAGATATCTGTATAGCTCTTTCCAAGATGAGGTCAGCTATAAAATATCAGGTACCACTGAAATCATCTGTCTCACCCAACACCCACCCCCATTTTAGACAAAGAGACAGACAACTCTAATAAAATACCTATTTGGTTATTCATCAATAAAATATATTATTTCCACTATTTATGACCAAATTCTAAAATGACTTTTATCTTTTACCAAATAACTCACCACAATATTTAGGATGTCACATACCAATCAATATAAAATGTTTTTATAATAAAAATTAAATTAAAGGTAATATAATGAAGTTGTAGATTTTTGAGTCAATTTGCCTTAGGCTTTCAACAAAACCTACTAATTTTTCTAGAGGTAAATAAGATCAAGTCCTTTCTCTATCTGGCTATTAATTTTTAAATAATTAGTATAGTTCTCAAACAAGAGAAATGTTGAGATTATGATAAATATATATGAATAAAGCTAAGGCAACTGTGAACATTTTTTTCTCTTAATTTTTATAGGAAATGGTATGGGTCTTCTGTGATAAAAATATTTACAGGCAGTACGTTCACTGGTAATGTATACATACATTTCATCTAATGCTCAAAAATGTGAAATCAGACTTATTATGATTAACTTATCCTGAAGATACTAAATATATTTCTTAATGATTTTGCTTAATCCAACTACTGTGATTGGTTATTTAAATATAACAACAATATGTGTTTATAATTATGAGGATGCAATTATTACATCAATATTAAAGAATTTAGGAGTAGTAAAAATATAATCACTAACATGTGAACCACATTTACATATTTCTACACTGAATACATTTAGTTAAAAAGTATTCTACAACCTTTGAGTATTAAAACTACAGGACTATGTATGTATTAGCCTAAAAATAAACATGTTCCACACAAAAGCATTTATACACTCATTCATTCTAGTTTTGGCAGGAGTATGAACTCCAGTCCAAATTCAATTTCTTGTATCTTATACATCTTCCCAACTCTAGAATTTTATCTCACAGTGAAGACTTCAAAGTCCATTGAAGACTAAATTAATATATTTTTTTTAAACTTTCAACTTGTTTAAAATGTTAGTATTTTCTGGTTAACCCTTAAAGAAAAAAAGTCGATTAAGCAGTGCTGATTCCAATACTGAATAAAACTATAAAATTTATTTAGAGAATTATACATTATAAGCTTGTCAAAATAGGAAAATCATGAATGTGTGTATACAGATATATATTTCATGTTGTCAGAACCATGTAATTAAAAAATAACACAAACTATTATTACTTAATAATACTAATTACTTAAAGCTATCTACACTCCAACTAGGACCTTCACAATGTGAAAGTTTCAAATAAAAATATATTTACCTTGCCAGGTCTAAAAAACACTTTGGTTAACCCAAACTTGTAGTCAATTTCATTTAAGCCCAAAGCCTTAAAAAGTGCCTGTAAAAGAAAAGTTTAAAAGTTAAATTCCAACTAGTAATTAATAGGAAAGACTTTATTGCCAAGAAATTTTAAGTGGCACTTGTACCTTACAAAATAGCCTTGGATCCAATCTTGCAAGTTTATCCGGCATGTACTTTTTGTACATGTTGTAGAGTTCATGGAATGAAGCTCGTGATGGGAAACCACCCTGCATCAAGTCCAGAACAGATACCATGCCTGGATTCATAGACACAAATCATTGCCAATCACTGCACAGAAGTCCAGAACCACTTGTGATTTTATAATTTTACAAATTCATGTTTAGGAAAGAAAAATTTGTAGGGACTCTCAGCAATGAAATATTACAAAGGAAATGTACTTCTAGCCAAAATATCTCAACTGATCTATCACCTAAAACTACTACAATGAAATTCTATCTAAAGCTATCATGACTAACCATTTCTTAGAGGCAAACCAGTGGTCTCTAGAAAACTCGAGTCTACTTTGTATCTTCTTTTAATCTACATTAATATTAAGAGTATATAAAGCAAATACATGCACTTGGTCACTTTCTAAGTCCTGAGGTTAATTTTAAAATAAGATTCCTGATAGAGTCTCCAAAAAGTAGTCAAAAACATTCCCAACTTTTCCTAAGCACTTAAACAAAGCAAGAGAAATAATAGCTCACTTAGACAAAGCAAAAGGAAGAGAAATAACAGGTCACTATTTCACTATAAACAGCCCCTGCCACTCCCCTCTGAAAGAAGCTAATCTACTGGGAAGCTGAACCTAAGGATAAACATGCATTATCAGTGTAATTGTAAAAAGTGGTTTTTCTGAGCCTCAATCAATGTGAGCTTTTCAGGTCAGGAGAGGAGTACAATAGGTTGAGACTGGAAAAACAGGTAAAGACAATGCCAAAACCTTTGTTCACAGCAACACCTGGATTTTAGTCACTGGAACGACTCAAACCAACAGGGAAAACAAGTTATTCAATGAGAACTGTTATCACAGATGGCTAGTCATTTTTTTCAATGCAACTTGTAAGACTGACTATTTAAGTACAACAATTGTGCTTAAAATTTTGAGGCTGCTAACTAATAAATCAACATTAAAGAAGTTAAGGGTGGAAATAGTTACTAACATGTGGAAAACAAAAATAAGAAAAATAACATACACTCATCTCTTTCCTTACATCAAAATAAACTGGTCAAAAATTTAAATTAAAAATGGAGCTATAACAATTTTTTAATTGAGTGAATTTTTATTTTAAAATAATCTTATAGGAAAGACAGCCTTTCTAGGCAGTCAGACTGAATATTAACCTATCACACTGGTAAAAATATAAAAGCTCAAAGTACTCAGTTAACAACAGCACAGGAAAACACACACACACACTCTTGGTGAGGGAGTAAACTAGTGCAACAAATGTGGATGGCAATGTAGAAATAGTTACCCCTTTTCTTTTGTTGAGTTTTTGTTTTTGTTTGTTTGTGGTTTTTGGTGGTGCTGGGGATTGAACTGAAGGATTTATACACACCCTCAGTCCTTTTACTTTTTTAGTTTGTCTTACAGATAGGGTCTCACAATTTTGCCCTGCCTACCTCTGACCGCAATCCTACTTCCTGAGCAGTTGGGAGCACAGGTGTGCACCACCAAGCCCTGCTCATTGTTTTTATTGTTGTTGTTTGGTTTGGTTTTGCCGGTAGGTCTGGGGGTTGAACTCAGCATTTCATACGTGCTGGTTAGGCACTTATCACTTGAGCCACAACCTTCCTTGTTTTGCTGTGGTTATTTTAGAGATAGGGTTTTGCCCAGGCCAACCTTGCTCTTCCTTCCTTAAGCTTCCTGCTCTACGCGGACATCAAGTGCTTACCATCACACCCAGCTTGTTTCCACTGAGATAGGGTTTCATGAACTTTTTGCTCAGGCTGGCCTCAAACCACAATCCTCCTGATCTCAGCCTCCCAAGTAGCTACGATTATAGGCATAAGCCATTGGTGTCTCATTCCAGTTTGGTTTTGAAATAGGGTCTTGATAACTTTTAGCCTGGATTGGCCTCAAACCACAATCCTCCCATCTTCACCTCCTGAGTAGCTGGGATTACAGCTTCAGTAATTTCTATTTCTATGAATCTAACCTATAATTTTTCATGCTTGTAAACAAAGATATGTGTGGAGAGTGTAAACACTGGATCACTGTTTACAACAGAAAAACATAAAACTAAAGTATCCATGATTAAATTACATTACAACCATATGAGAGTAACATACATGAATTTTAAAAAATAGAGCACAGCTTTATCTAACCAACATAAAAATATATAAAAATATTATATATTTATATATTTTTATAAAAATATATATAAATAAAAAAATATATAAATATATATATATATATATCCGAGACATATATAAAGTGTATGCTAATTAATGAAACAAAAAAATATTTTTTTTCTAGTGCTTGGGATTGAACCCGGGGCCTTGCATATACTTTGGAAGTGCTCTACCACTGAGATACATGCCTAGCCCTTGGGTTTTTGGGACAGAGTCTTGCTATATAGCACAGGCTGGTCTTGAACTTGTGATCCTCCTGCTTCTGCCTTCAAGTGCTGGGATTACAAGCATGTCCCACCATGGCCAGCAAGACCATCATTCTCATGAGAAAACAACCAGCAGAACAAGATTTAGTTCTAGGCTTTACTTGGAGAAATAAAAGTAAGGTTTGGTTGACATCATAATTTTTGCCTTTTTACATCAAGTATCTTGGAAATTCATTCACTACCGCCAAGTTGCTTGGCTTTCCCCACAAACTACGACCTGGCTTACAGAAGTTCATTAAGAGCTTCACGGAGTGTAACAAATTACCAAGCCTACAACGGACTTCACAGGACTTGACACTCACTTATTCTTAAGAGCTTTTGAAGCCTCAAAGTCACTAAGCCAAGAAAACTGGCTGCTAGTGGCTCACACTTAAATCTTAGCTACTTAAGAGGATCAGATCAGGAGGATCACAGTTTGAGGCCAGCCTGGGCAAAAAAGTTCATGAGACCACCATCTCAACCAATAGCTGGGCATGGTGCCATGTACCCGTCATCCCAAGCTACATGGGAAGCTGAGATTACGAGGATCATAGTTCCAGGCCAGCCTAGGCAAAGTTAATGAGACCCCATCTTAATGGAAAAAAAGGTAGGCACGGTGGTACATATCTGTCATCCCAGCTATGGTGAGAGAAGTAAAATGAGAAGATTGTGGTCCAGGCCAGCCTGGGCAAAAGTGAAACTCTATCTCCAAAAAACCAGAGAAAAAGGGCTGGAGGTGTGGCTCAGGTGGCAGAACACTCGCCTTGCAAGCATGAAGACCTGAGTTCAAACCTCAATACTGTCCACCAAAAAATCACAAAGCCAAGTATTATTCTTTCTAGAAACTCTCATGGCCTGGTTCTTACGATGACAGTCTGGTAAGAACCTACATGGTGCTACATTTGCTAATTATACTCAAGTCCCCTCTTTGCTACACAAGAAGCACAGCCTCAAGGCTGCCTTTTTCTCCTTTTCCCCTACTTCATCCTGGTGGTGGCTAGTCAGACCAGTAGGTTTAGCAGCAGGCATCTTAAATTAGTTTTCCTCAAAATGGAAAAAAAAAAATACAAACAGAAATGCAAAACAGACTGTCTTATATTAGATATCTTACTTAAGAAAAATTCACAAATATTTTTCTAATAATTATTTTTGCTTTTTTCTCATTACCCAGATCTATTAAAGTACAAACTTTTCTCAACATGTTAAAATATAGTGCTTACAAAAAGAGGAATCCTCACTAAAACACCAATAAGCCCATACTCTGCTAATGTAATATCATACATAGCTATAGCTAAACATACTTGATGTGCCAAGGAGAGGGGATGCTTACTTAGGAAATGAATTGGTTATGTTGTAATAAGCAAATCCTAAAGAGGAATTTAAATAAGAAAAAAAAATCAAGCTCAAAGTAACAACACCATAAAGACAATTTATAAAAATACATCTCATCTGCAGTACTACAGCAGGCATAAACTACTTGATTTTCCAGTGTTTGTTAAAATCAATCACAAAGGAATCCTCATGTCTGCTACAACGTACATTTCTTCCAACAATAAAAGAGTCTAGTACATATCAGAGAAGCAAGATAATTTTGAATAAATCAAAACAGATACAGTTCCTACACTCATAGAGTTTACAGAGGAAGAAAATTTTAAATAATTATACAAATGTACATAAAATTTATAGCTATGATTGTGAAGTAAAGGCACCAGAACTCAGCATCATTAAGTCTTCCTTCAAAGACAGAAATATCAAGAAAGGAACTGAAAGGAAAGTCAGTGTGGCTGGAGCAGAGAGAAGAGAGAGGAAAGAAAGCAAGGGACACACAGTCTGTACGGGGCTCCACATCCTACCAAGATTTTGCTTTTTACCTCAGTACTAATTAGGAGCCATCAGAGCAGTAAAAAGACATGGTCAGAACTGAGCTGTGACACACGTGAAGAACACACTAAGCACATGCAAGGAGGATACTTACGAAGCTATAGCAAAAAACTGAGAGAGAGGAAGTGACCACTTGAGTCAGGAAGGAGTAGGACTCACTGTTTAGGAAATCATAGCAATAGGACTTGGAAGACTTAAATAAAGAATAAATCTTGTGGTAAGGGAGGGCGTGGGGGCAGGGGGGAGAAATGACCCAAGCCTTGTATGCACATATGAATAATAAAAGGAAAAAAAAAAAAAAAAAAGAATAAATCTTGTGCTGCCCATTACAGCAGCCACTAGCCACAGGCTCTTAGCTTCACTAGACACATATGCTTAAATTTTAACATATTAAAATTAAATAATATTTAAAGTTTAGCTAAAGAAATGATCTCTAAACTGAAGAGAACACCCACAGAGTGGGAGAAAATATTTGCCAGCTACACATCAGACAAAGGACTGATAACCAGAATATAC